CCCTTCAAACCAGGTGCTCCAGGGAAACCTGGTTGACCACTCTCGCCTTTAAGGCCAGGCAGTCCAGGAAGACCGTCTTTACCAGGGAATCCAGGAGATCCGGGAGGTCCTTGGGGTCCAGGGAATGACTGTCCTGAAGCAATAAACGATAACCAGAAATACACCTTTGTTTTCAAGTTCATTAAAATTTTTGTATATTACTCGAATGGTGATTTGTATGAGATTGATTAACATAAGATATTCACTTATACTGTATTGAATTGTATTCCAATCATTAATTTCTTAATTGGAGTTATGAAGACTACTATACGTACGGCATTCACTTCCTTACAAACGCCCCTTTTTTACTTTGAGCCAAAAAAATCAATATGGCGAGTTTAATTCAGAATAGTGATCATTATCAAGTAGCCTTATTCCCTCAATTAATGTACTATATCGTTTTGCTGGTAGTTCATTAATCCAAAAGCGTCCTTGGTTTTACACAAGCTTGGGCCCAAGGCTAAAATGTATCCCATTCTTTTTGCCGCCCTCCGTAAAAATACTGAAAGAATATTCAAAAGCATTCCGCCGGTTTCCCAGTTTGCAGAAAAAGCAAACAGATCTATAATTATTTAAACTAACCTGGTGGTCCTGGAAGGCCAGGCAAACCAGCAGTTCCCTTCTCTCCTGGAAATCCATCAGCCCCATCACGACCTGGCTGTCCAGGATATCCAATGTCACCCTTCATTCCGGGAAGACCAGGGAGTCCATCTTGTCCAGGAAGTCCAGCATTTCCTTTAAGTCCAGGGAAACCTGGAGCGCCAGCATTTCCTTTAGGACCAGGAGTGCCAGGCAGACCAGGTTGGCCAGGATATCCGCTGTCTCCCTTCATTCCAGGAATTCCATCGAGGCCACGATCGCCTGGTAGACCAGGCAGGCCAGCTGTACCCTTTTCTCCTCTAATTCCAGGCACGCCCGGAGCTCCTTGAAGGCCAGGAGCACCAGGTTGTCCAGGAGCACCAGGAGCTCCAATTTCACCTTTCAGACCTGGCAAGCCAGGTAGTCCGTCTTTGCCTGGAGCACCACTTTGTCCTGGGAAACCCTGAAAATTCATGTTACTTGGCGTTGAAATCATTATGCATACGGAATTTGAAATATTCAACTTACCGGTTCGCCCTTGAGACCAGGGAATCCGGGCAGACCGTCTTGTCCTGGAGGTCCAGGAGGTCCTGGTCGTCCCGCTTTTCCAGGAACACCAGGAAGACCTTTTTCCCCATTAATACCAGGTTGTCCATATCCAGGTAGCCCAGATTCTCCTTTGGCACCGGGGATTCCAGGTAGACCAGGAGGACCTTGGGGTCCGCGAAGACCAGGTTGACCAGGCAGTCCTTGCTCTCCCTTAGCTCCATCCGCCGCGGCTGGCCCTGGTTCTCCTTTTTCTCCAGGGATTCCACTAAATCCTCGATCTCCTTTCATGCCAGGAAGTCCAGGGTATCCATCCTTTCCTGGTGGGCCAGGCAGACCAGCATTTCCTTTCATTCCAGGTAGTCCCGGCATACCAGGAAGACCGGCGTTTCCCTTCATTCCTTGCTGACCTGGTAATCCAGGGAGTCCAGCGTCTCCTTGAAACAGGTAAGTTATTAAATAAAAAATTGTTATTAATGGAAGAACTATGCCAACCTTTGCTTCCAGGAACACCGGGGATACCGTTCATTCCTTTCTGACCTGGGTAACCAGGAGGACCTTGCATACCAGGCTGTCCAGGTGGGCCGGGAAGACCAGCATCTCCTTTTTGGCCGTCAATTCCAGGTAAGCCTGGTAGGCCAGCATCTCCCTTTTGTCCAGCAAGGCCCGGAATTCCGTCCGCTCCAGGGGCTCCTGGTGCACCTTCCTTTCCTAAAATATTGAAACCTTTCACGCAATCAGATATAATGCAAGATTTAGTCATTATTTGAGGTTTTCATTTTTCACACTACGAGCAATACCAACCAGGGATTCCTGGAAGTCCTGGCTCTCCTTTTTGCCCTGGATATCCTGGCTGTCCAGGTTGTCCTGGAAATCCGGCATCTCCTTTAAGACCAGGAGCACCAGGTGCTCCTCGTTGACCGTCAAGACCAGGAAGACCTGGTTGTCCAGGCAGTCCAGCATCTCCTTTAAGGCCAGGGAATCCGGGGGGACCAGGTGGTCCAGTCATCGATGCGCCTTGTTCTCCTTTCATACCAGGCAAACCAGGTAGACCGGGATGGCCAGGTTCTCCTTTGGGTCCAGGAATTCCGGGCAAACCATTGATACCTGAAAAATCAGAGCAAAGTTACGCCGTATGCATCTAGATGTTAGTCAACTACTTCAACTAACCGGGAAGGCCTTTTTCTCCTGGTATGCCAGGGATTCCGGGTTGTCCTGGTGGACCAGGTAATCCGCTTTCTCCTTTACGTCCGCTTACACCAGGAAGCCCAGGTGGTCCAACATCACCAGGTCTTCCAGGAAAACCGGCTTCTCCCTTCGGTCCAGGAAGTCCGGGTGCCCCAGGTGTACCGGGTGCTCCCGGTTTCACGAGGCTAGGAGGGGCAGCAGCTCCGGGTGGACCTTGTAGACCAGGAAGTCCAGGTACTCCAGAAGGACCTGCTTCTCCTTTTTGCCCCGGAAGACCAGGCAAACCAGGCTGGCCATATCCTGGTTCTCCCTTTAGGCCAGGTAGTCCGGGCAATCCATCTTTTCCGGGTTTACCGGGTAGACCGGGTAGCCCAGGTTCACCCTAAATGGGGTTCAATTAAATTGCAAAGTTGCAAGAATTTAGATGTATATCGATTTTTACCTTCTCTCCTGGCATCCCAGGTAGACCTGGTGAGCCTA